GTATGCAATAATTTCGCAAAAATCATAACGAACCTAACGGAAAAAATATATTTCACTGTGTTTGCTTATTATTAAATTATTGTAAACTTATCTAAAATATATTTAGTTGCATTAGGCTAAATTAAATTGCGCTTGTTATAATTTTACCTATTCGGCACGACATATAATGTCGTGCCGAATATGTAAAACTGGTCAGTTAGCAAGAACTCATTTAAACTTAAGTCCGTTCTAAAATTTTCTTTTATACTTTTAAATATATTTGTTTCACTTATGTTGATGTAAAAATTAATAATTTTTTACCAAAAGAACCTTAGAAAACTTACCTAACCTTATTATAACAAGCTAAATTTAATTTAGCCTAATCCAACTAAATATATTTTAGATAAGTTTTGAATAATTTAATAACGAAAAGAATGATTTTTACGAAATTAATGCATACACAAATTTTCGCTTGCCTTGTTCAGCAAAAAGAGCGTTGCTATATAAGCCAAAATAGCAACTTTTACCTTTTCGGCACGATATATATTGGATACATCCGCAGTGCGATGCTACCTATTCTATATTATATTTACGTAGTATAAACAAAAGCTAGCCATGTTTTTCCCTTAAATTCGATTACAAAGGGTGGGTTACATAGTGTTGAAATCTTCCAGCCTGGTGCGAGATACTTTAGTAGGCAATGAGGATATCAAGTTTTCCATTAAAGGGTCACCAATTATGGAAGCATCAGAGGAATTGTTCCAGCAAAGTTTAAGTTTCTATTGGGAATCATCATCAGGCAAGATGGCCAGTCTAATATACAGGAAAAATGGAATTTTTGTGGAGATACCTACATCATCACAGAGCAGAGCAATAAAAATTACGAATAGGATAGGGGAAAAAGAGGGGGAGATGGAGAGAAATTTGAACGACATAATACATCTAAATACAGTTCGTACATATATTAATATATGCCATGCAAGTTCATAATATGCTTAAGAATACATACACTAGCCTAGTAACAACCAGCATAAGCATCATGGGCAAACTGCTTCACATAATTACCACATACGACGTAATTATCGACTTTAGATACAGGTACAAAATACTCAGAATTGATAAGAGCAAGTAGTGATTGCTTGACATGGAGGGACTACTAACAAGGGGACATGGATAAAGCTAAAACCACAGTGAGTTACTTTTTTTTCATACTCTGTACATTATATCTTCATATACCTTGCAATGATTTTCGGGTCACCGCCCCCTGGGCAGTACAGAAGTAACGGGTGTTAAAAGTATCTTAAAAGAAGCCTGAAGAGGTATTTATAAATAGGCACACTAAACAAATATTGTTCACCTTTTAAGAACCTGTCAAACTATTAAAAAATAAATTTATAGTTTTTGTAAATTATATGCAGCAGTACGACATGCTAATTTAATGATAAATAATATAGTAGTGGCAAAATTCCTAACTTGTAATTATTAACCCTTTTATAATTTAACAACTTAAATAACACTGGTACTTAACCTTTATGTCAGTCATTCGAATACATATTCCAAATTTGACTATTAATCGGGCAGTGACCATATCCAATAACAGAAGCAAACACAACCATGTGCTGATGCACTGCTAGGTGCAATCTTCATGGTACCCAGAAACAAACTCTTTCATCCCAGTTTCTACACGACACCTTTGGCTGATGCAATACTTGATGACGTCATCGAAAGGGGGCCATGCAATGTTATCCTCAATTATCTGACGAAAACATATTGACAGGGAATCTTTATACAAGCTCAAGATACGTTCTTGTAACTCGTTTAAAGGGAAATTTAATTTGATATAAATGGGTGTTCGCATTCACGGAACCCAAACAAAAACAGCCAACTCATTCATGCTAGGCTTCAACTACTCCACACCAGACACCCTTGCCAGAGGAATAAAGTTACTTATGTATATACCCAGTAAACAGGAAGCTTATAAGCAGGTATCTGTCAACACATGGTAATACATGGACGGATGACATTTGACATGGCAACGAGTCAGTCATTTGTAATTATTGATGAATATGGATTTTCATGAATCTGAGCATGGGCAGAATGCATGGACATGGTATCAGGGGCTTCTTCGATGTCAGGTGGTGTCAGGGTTACGTTGGAGAATGTGGGTGAGTAGAATGAATTAAATGTGGGAGTGATGTAGGCAAACTCCATGCATAGCTTTAACAGTAGGTACGATAAGGTTCAAAGGGCCAGAAAACATTATTACCGATCTGCGGAGATTGAGGCTGGGCCAGGAGTAATTTTCTATACCCATAAACTCAAATATGCGAGTACAAGTTATTGAAACCTGTAGTGTAATGCAGCCAATATTTAACATATACGTATTTTTCCACAGTTGATCTCATAAAAAATAGGCGCAGCTTGTATTTGAGCTGTACCTGCAATATATTGTTTATTAATTTGGCGCTGTATGCTGGTATGTGTGTTGTGTACAGGATGTTTTGTTTGTTCTGTGTTTGCTGACAGTCTGGCAGTTGTGCCCATTGTTTTTTTTTTTATATAAATTCGCAGAGACGGACTTGACATTTAATTGAACCAGCATTTCGCAAATATTCATCACTTATCACCTCATTTTTCCTGAATTCTTTTCCTGAACCTCTACACCGTATTAGTATGTATTTCAATATTCACTCTAGAGGTATCAAGCTTAAAGTTCGAGGATATTGTCCATGTCACATGTAAATTCATGAAACTTGTATTCAGTGTACTGGCTATGTCGTCAGACAGGAGGCTTTCCCTGAACCCGGGCAGCAAGGGCGATGATCCCTGCAATTATCAACAAGTAGTTACAAGGTGATAGTATACAGATCGGAATTGATAAAGAAATGCTCAGAACTGTATACTTAAAAACCCATAGAGTCTTGTTCCTTAAAATATCAGCCCATGAACCTTCAACTCGGAACGTTTTATGTTTCTTTTTAATTACTTCAAAGACTCTCCAGGCGATATCAGCAGCGTGAATAATGGAATGTAGGACAAGAAGTGCAGCTAATTGCCGTGGTAACCTCGACTCGTACTAAGAAGTCAGGTCACTGAGGGACGGGTGACTTGGTTTGACCTGTTTTACGACACTTTACGTTACGTTGTTTGGCTCGTTTTTTCTGATTATTTAGAAGTTTTTTTTTTGTCATAATTACTAGTGTTCTGATTGTTTAGGTTTAGTTGTATATATGTTGGGATTTTGATGGTTTGGGGGATTCGTGGGCGACGGTTGAGTAGCCGAGTGTGGGTGTTTGTCATGGAGTGGGTGAGGGTAACCGGGCATGGGTGTGCCGACCACGGTGGTCTTCAAAACTCAAAATTATTATTGATACCGTACTGACTTGTATGGTCAGCCTAGGATGGCTACGCTGCAAGTTTCGAAGTGTTGTTTTAGTGTCAAACTTTATTTCAGACACTGATGTAAGTATTATTATTGATTCTGTGAAGTGGTTCATATACAGTAGAGATGTTTGATGTGTAGAATGAATCTTAGAAGCCGTGTTTTGTATATCCCTAAAACCACTAACAGATGTAATGGTTTCAGTCATGAATATAATGTTTTCAAATGTGCTCACAAATGTGTTGAAGCATACAGACAAGTGTGTTACTTATAAAGAATTGACATAGCATTTTATGAGCAGCCCTAGAGACCCCAGGAAGTAGACCTGAAGGATACCTGAAGATTTCTTTCGAGCTCACGTATCCGTTTCTAGGTCCAAGACCAGTCCTCCTAGTGGATCAAGCAGGCTGTTACTGTTGGTCGTACGAGGTCAAGCGCATGAACGACAGCTCTGCTGTTCAGGAACTGACATGAGGAACTTTAAAGTTCTCTAGACAGCAAGGGGTTTGTTGATGATTCCCTTTTTGTATGATGGGAAGCTGTTATACAAGGCCTGGTCCTCTTACTCTTATTGTGTTATCTCTGAGTGTACTCATAGTACCTCTGCTTTTTATTAGGAGTATGTCGCGCCGGCTGGCGAGTCTATTACTTTCTTAAGGAGTTGTTTCTATGTGCAGGTTTGGGACTAATCCCTCTGTTATTTTGTAGATGTAAACTATAATGAATCTTTCTCGTCTGCATTCCAAAGCGTGGAGGTCAAGGGGCTCCAAATGTTCCCAGCAGTTTATGTGCTTTACTGAATTTACACATGCACTGAGGACCCTCTGCAGTTTCGCCTGCTTTAATAGGAGCTATTAATATACACCAGTATTCCAGCCTAGAGAGAACAAGTTAAATAGAATTATCATTGGCTGGGCATGTCTTGTTTTGAAGGTTCTTTATATCCATTCTATTACTGTTGTGAGCTTTTGAACGTGAGATTCTCTGACATCACGTTAGTTTTTCATTCTCTTCTGTGGTTAGAGTTAGTTTAGTCTGTTCTAGTTTTTATTTCCTTAGTGTTTCATAACAAAATACCTGAAATTTGTTCTCATTATTGAACATATTGTTGTCTGTGGGCAAAAGAAGTCTAGGTTTACATTAACCTGGAGGTTGGCAGTGCCCTCCATGCATGCCACTGAAATACAAATTCTTGTTTCATCACATGCTATAATTTCTCTCCCTGTCTATATCGGATGTGAGAATGAAGAAAAGGATGGGAGTAAGTACTGTGCCCCTGTGAACAGTTTTTCACTGTGGAGGCTTCTGTTTACTACTACTGTTTGCATTCTAATTATTAGATAGATAAAACACCATATGCCCACTGTTCGCCTACAGTCTGTTAAGAATTTCAAAACGAAGCATGCCACTTGAGGAATATTGTCTAATGGGTATATATATTTCTGAGGGAGTAGGGCTTATGTTTTGTATACGAGTGTATTGTATTTTACCTGTAGGAGGTTCCAGGCCCCAACCCAGTACTGGGTTATTTATTTATTCAGTACGTTGTGTGTTAGGGTGTTCAGCGTATTGTATATTGAAGTGTGATGCAGCAAAATTACGGGATACATAAAGACTGATTAATGTTGTCTTGTTGCAGGTTAGGATGCGGTGAGCCACGGTCATGGAGGGGTCCAAGGACAACAAACTCCTCTGCATGCACCGCCTCAGCCCCACCCCCTTCTCCTCAGGTGAGTTCTTCCCATGCACCCCACCCCTCCTCCTCAAGTGAGTCCTTTCCCCAGAACCCCACCACCTAAAGTGAGTCCTTCCCCAGAACCCCACCACCTAAAGTGAGTCCTTCCCCAGAACCCCACTACCTAAAGTGAGTCCTTCCCCAGAACCCCACCACCTAAAGTGAGTCCTTCCCCAGAACCCCACCACCTAAAGTGAGTCCTTCCCCAGAACCCCACCACCTAAAGTGAGTCCTTCCCCAGAACCCCACCACCTAAAGTGAGTCCTTCCCCAGAACCCCACCACCTAAAGTGAGTCCTTCCCCAGAACTCCACCTCCTAAAGTAAGTCCTTCCCCCAGAACCCCACCACCTCAGGTGAGTCCTGGAACTCCATCTCAGATGAGTCCTCCCAGAACCGCACCACCTCCTCAGGTGAGTCCTAGCACCGCACCTCTTTTTCACCCTTTGTCAGGTGATTCCTGCCCCCAGAACCCCAGAACCCCACACCCCTTTACTCAGGGTAGGCCTTTCCTCAGTATCCCATCTTTCCCAGGTAAGGCCTTTACCCTGTATCCCACCCCTCTTCCTCAGGCGAGTCTCATCCCAACACCTGCCCCAGTCCCAGATGAGTTCCACCCCCATCATCCTACTCCATTCTCATTTGAATCCTCCAGCACCCCACCCTTCTCGTGTGAGTCCTTCCCAGCACCCCACCCTTCTCGTGTGAGTTCTTCCCAGCACCCTCCTTTTGTGGAGTCCTTCCCCAAGACCCCACCACTTCAGGTGAATCCTTTCCCCAGCACAGCACCCCTCCTCAGGTGAGTCCTTATCCTATCACCAAAGCCCTTCTTTTCAGTTGCTTAGTGTATTATACAACGTTCTTACTTCTCCGGTGAGTCCCATCTCAACCTCCCCGTTTTTCCATAAGGGAATATCCCTCAACATACTATTCATACCGCAGGTGAATCCCCATACATCCCTCCCCTACGTCTAAATTACCTCACACCTTAATTACTTCACACCTTAATTATATCGCACCTTAATTACCTCACACCTTACTCAGGTGAGGTAGCTTCTCTTTTAGAATAAATAATAAAAAAAAGAGATTTAAAATTACATTTATTAAGTATACCCATTGTTGTTAATGTTAATGTGAGACCCTCCAAGAAAATTAGTAAATGAAAATAAATTATAATATTGCATGAATTAGTTCTCACTTATCACAATATCTGGCTAAAACAAGTTATGATTGATGTTTATTTACTTTTTATTTTTAGTATTTATTGCAGTGCCATTTTATTAATGGAGCTAACCCCTCACCCAAGAAGTTACCGTTTTTTATCAGTGGTACGATATATTATAAAAAACGATAGCCACTGCATAGCACAAACTCTCCCATTTCTGTGGAGCGCCCTACTATTGATTTTATAACAAGTATGTTTACTGTTTAGAGACATTCATACGTGATTTAACGTAATGTAAAATATGAGCTAACAGATGAATGGAAAGTAGTCAGAAGGCATGAACAGGAAGTGGTAATGTAGCCAAGTAGCTGTAGACAAAACGGTGTTTTCGTTGTTTTTAAAGTGATGCTGAAAATCTCTTAGCCTCACAGTTAAAATTTTAATGAACGATGAAATGTGTTCGCAGTTTAAACTGAAGAAACTGAAAAGCATTATAATTTCCAATGAATATTTATCCATAGATATTATTTTACCTACGAGTTGTTTGTGTGTGTGTGTGTATGTGTGTGTGTGTGTGTGTGTGTGTGTGTGTGTGTGTGTGTGTGTGTGTGTGTGTGTGTGTACTCACCTATTTGTACTCACCTATTTGTGGTTGCAGGGGTCGAGTCTTAGCTCCTGGTCCCGCCTCTTCACCGGTTGCTACTGGGCCCTCTCTCTCCCCGCTCAATGAGCTTTATCAAACCTCGTCTTAAAACTGTGTATGGTTCCTGCCTCCACTACGTCATTTTCTAGGCTATTCCACTGCCTTACAACTCTATGACTGAAGAAATACTTCCTACTATCTCTCTGACTCATTTGTGTCTTCAACTTCCAATTGTGGTCTCTTGTTTCTGTGTTCCCTCCCTGGAACATCCTGTCTTTGTCCACCTTGTCTATTCCACGCAGTATTTTATATGTCGTTATCATGTCTCCCCTGACCCTCCTGTCCTCCAGTGTCGTCAGGCCGATTTCCCTTAATCTTTCTTCATAGGACATTCCCCTTAGCTCTGGAACTAACCTTGTCGCAAACCTTTGTACTTTCTCTAGTTCAGTGGTTCCCAAACTGGGGGTAAATTACCCCCTGGGGGTAATTTAACCATTTTTGGGGGGTAATGGAGGGGTGACAGAAAAAAAGTTATGAATTCTGAAAATCAAGAAAACAATGCGGTACCCGGTATGAGGATTATTGTTAACTTTGTCTTAGTATATAAAGTTGTAAAGTAAACCTATTATAAGTAAGTAATAAAGTTAAACCAAATAACAATAGACATCAAAAACTAATATACAGTATTAGAAAAGAAGAAATATATAGCTAAGTGTGTGGAAACCCAAAAGTATTTTGACAAGTATGCTTCAGGACAAAAGTCACTCAGTAGCCCAGATCGACCTGTCCAGTACGCGTCACTCACTTCCTGAGGCTGCCTCTATTCACACTGTCAGTTTATCTGTTGAGCATCAGCCGAGGTAGACATAAGCTGGTATGTATGTGTACTGTCCTGTGCAGTATATAGTTAGTATTTACCCACTGTTACTGTGAATTTGTAGCTATTATTAATTTTATATATAATGTATGTGTGGTTCTTACGTTTTCAATGGTTTTGCTAGGATTAGCAGAGTATGCGAGGCTGTATACGTTCACGTTTAGCCATATATATCAATAATAACAACATTTTGTGAAAGGGGTAACATGCTTTATGTGGCATGTTAAATTGGGTAACAAGCCGAAAAAGTTTGGGAACCACTGCTCTAGTTTCTTGACGTGCTTTATCAAGTGCGGGTTCCAAACAGGTGCTGCATACTCCAGTATGGGCCTGACATACACGGTGTACAGTGTCTTGAATGATTCCTTACTAAGGTATCGGAATGCTGTTCTCAGGTTTGCCAGGCGCCCATATGCTGCAGCAGTTATCTGATTGATGTGTGCTTCCGGAGACATGCTCGGTGTTATACTCACCCCTTGAGTGAGGTTTGCAGTCTTTGGCCACCTAGCCTATACTCTGTCTGTGGTCTTCTGTGCCTGTGTACTCACCTAGTTGAGGTTGCGGGGGTCGAGTCCGAGCTCCTGGCCCCGCCTCTTCACTGATCGCTACTAGGTCACTCTCCCTGAGCCGTGAGCTTTATCATACCTCTGCTTAAAGCTATGTATGGATCCTGCCTCCACTACATCGCTTCCCAAACTGTTCCACTTACTGACTACTCTGTGGCTGAAGAAATACTTCCTAACATCCCTGTGATTCATCTGTGTCTTCAGCTTCCAACTGTGTCCCCTTGTTACTGTGTCCAATCTCTGGAACATCCTGTCTTTGTCCACCTTGTCAATTCCTCTCAGTATTTTGTATGTCGTTATCATGTCCCCCCCTATCTCTCCTGTCCTCCAGTGTCGTCAGGTTGATTTCCCTTAACCTCTCCTCGTAGGACATACCTCTTAGCTCTGGGACTAGTCTTGTTGCAAACCTTGCACTTTCTCTAGTTTCTTCACGTGCTTGGCTAGGTGTGGGTTCCAAACTGGTGCCGCATACTCCAATATGAGCCTAACGTACACGGTGTACAGGGTCCTGAATGATTCCTTATTAAGATGTCGGAATGCTGTTCTGAGGTTTGCTAGGCGCCCATATGCTGCAGCAGTTATTTGGTTGATGTGCGCTTCAGGAGATGTGCCTGGTGTTATACTCACCCCAAGATCTTTTTCCTTGAGTGAGGTTTGTAGTCTCTGACCCCCTAGACTGTACTCCGTCTGCGGCCTTCTTTGCCCTTCCCCAATCTTCATGACTTTGCACTTGGTGGGATTGAACTCCAGGAGCCAATTGCTGGACCAGGTCTGCAGCCTGTCCAGATCCCTTTGTAGTTCTGCCTGGTCTTCGATCGAGTGAATTCTTCTCATCAACTTCACGTCATCTGCAAACAGGGACACCTCAGAGTCTATTCCTTCCGTCATGTCGTTCACAAATACCAGAAACAGCACTGGTCCTAGGACTGACCCCTGTGGGACCCCGCTGGTCACAGGTGCCCACTCTGACACCTCGCCACGTACCATGACTCGCTGCTGTCTTCCTGACAAGTATTCCCTGATCCATTGTAGTGCCTTCCCTGTTATCCCTGCTTGGTCCTCCAGTTTTTGCACCAATCTCTGGTGTGTGTGTGTGTGTGTGTGTGTGTGTGTGTGTGTGTGTGTGTGTGTGTGTGTGTGTGTGTGTGTGTGCGCGTGTGTGTGTGTGTGTTTATTTAGCTATGGTCAGTGCAGATTAAAAGTTGTATTCACACAGGTCTCGTATAGTCGTATATTATTTCTGATTATGCAGAAAATAATGAGCATTGATATCTTGTAAAATTGTCTTCATTAGAATATTTCTTCGTATACATCAGTTACTCGTTGAGGGACGGTTGCCCTTTCCTAAGTAAGAAATGGAAGCTTGTTAAATACTTTACAGTGAGACACGTGTGTATTTTTTCCAGTTTATAAACATTTAAGATGTCAGGTATATCATACGTTGTGATATTCAAGGGGTTATGCTAAACCCTCAGGAGTGTAGCATAACCCCTGTGGACTGGGATTCATTTATATTTGATCCCAGGAAGGGTAGGCATATATTGTCCAGACACACACACATATATGTTGTGCCGAATAGGTAAAACTGGTCAGTTAGCAAAACCTCATTTAAAATTATGTCCTTTCTAAAATTTCTTTTATACGTTTAAAGATATATTTTTTCATTTATGTTAATGCAAAAATTAAAAACTTAGCTAACCTTATTATAACAAGCGCAATTTAATTTTTTCGTTAGGTTCAGAATGTTTTTTGCGAAATTATTGCATACACAAATTTTTGCTTGCCTTATTCAACAAGAGCGTTGCTGTTTAAGCCAAAATCACAGGCTTTACCTATTGGGCACAACAATCACACACACACACACACACACACACACTACCACACACTACCACGCACGCGCACACGCACGCACACACGCACGCACACACGCACGCGCACACGCACGCACACACGCACGCACACACGCACGCACACACGCACGCACACACGCACGCACACACGCACGCACACGCACGCACACACGCACGCACACACGCACGCACACACGCACGCACACACGCACACACCGCACGCACACACGCACGCACACACGCACACACGCGCACACACACACACACACACACAACACACACAACACACACACACACACACACACACACACACACACACACACGTACTCATATACAACAGGCCTAGTGTCTAATCGACATGTGCCTAGGACAAAATGGTAACTAACTAACACACACACGCACGCACAACACACACACACAGTTTCTGGACCACGTGTCCAGTCTGTTCAGGTCTCTTTGTAGTCCTGCCTGATCCTCATCCGATTTAATTCTTCTCATCAATTTCACATCTGCGAACATCATGTCATTCACATGTATCAGAAATAGCACTGGTCCTTGAACTAACCCCTTTGGGACCCCGCTCGTCACAGGCGCCCACTGTGATACCTCTTCAAGTACCATGACTCGTTGTTGCATCCCTGTCAGGTATTCTCTGATCCATTGCAGTGCCCTCCCTGTTATACGCACCTGATCCTCTAGTTTCTGCACTAATCTCTTGGACTGCAGGAAGGCCTTCGACACAGTTCCTCACAAGAGAGTGCAGAAGCTGGAGGATAAGGCGCGTATAATAGGGAAGGGGGGCATTGCAATGGATCAGAGAATACCCGACAGGGAGGCAACAACGAGTCATGGTACGTGAAGAGGTATCGCAGTGGGCGCCTGTGACGAGCTGGGTCCCACAGGGGTCAGTTCAAGGTGGACAGACACACGATGTTCCGGAGATGAGACACAGAAACAAGGAGTCACAATTGGAAGTTGAAGACTCAGATGAGTCAAAGGGATGTTAGGAAGTATTTCTTCAGTCATAGAGTTGTCAGGAAGTGGAATAATCTGGCAAGTGATGTAGTGGAGGCAGGAACCATACATAGTTTTAAGATGAGGTATGATAAAACTCATGGAGCAGGGGGTGAGAGGACCTCGTAACGGTCAATGAAGAGGCGGGGCCAGGAGCTGAGTATCCACCCCTGCAACCACAAATAGGTGAGTACACACACCAAGCAGCTCTCGGTTATTTGGCTTGACTGATTATCTACTTAGTCAAATAAATGGCTGTTTTTGATGATCCCTGGAACCATTAAATGACATATATGAGCTGAAAGTTGTTGTTAGTTAATTTCTGTGGTTCGCTTATGAATCATTGGACGATGTGATGATGATTGTCATGGAGGATTTGTATTTTACGATTGCAGGGAAGAATTTGAGTGAATATTGAATTTGTTTAGAATGTGTAGGCTGAGAATTTGTTGTAACTGTGTGTGTGTGTTGCAGCAGACGAGGGTGCAGAGAGTGGGGATGACAGTGAGGAAGATATCGTCACTAACTACCTGGCTGGCTCTACAGCAGCTCCCGTAGTGGCCAGCGAGGCTACTGCATCCCCACACCACCACCACCATCACCACCACCACCATCACCACCACCTTCTACAACAACACCAGCAACATCAACAGCAGCAACAGCGCAGTCTTCAGCAGCAGCAGCAACAGCAGCATCACCAGCAACAACAGGTAGTGGTGGCCAGCGTGCAACCTGCCCATGCCCACGGCCCACCACGCCGTCTCGTGCGTATGGCCGAGATCCCCACCATGGACTCCATTACGGCTGAGAGCCTGGGCATGGGCGTAAGTGTGGGCGTGGGCGCCTCTGATGCCTTCATCCCGCCCATACCTACCATCAGCATCACTCCTCACTCACCCATAGCCCACAAGCCCTTCACCGTGCTCGGTAAGTAACCCCATACACAGCCTCATTTTTTATAACCGTACTTTAGGGTCAACAGAAGATTCGTTCCTTCCCTCATCCCCCACCAGATAAAGGTTTAATTTACTTACGGAAATTATTTTGTTGGGTTAGATATACTAAGCTCATGGAAATTTTTACCTAGGTTACGTTAAGGGGCTATGACCACGTAGAATCAACAGCAGGTAAGTTGCAGTTCAAGATTTGGTGCAATATAAAAAAAATGACAGCATAAAAAATTGCATAAATTTAGTTAACTGTTAGGGAGAGGGAGAAATATTCAGGTGATCAGTGTTTTATTATGAATTATTTCTGTTTTAGCAAGTAGTAAAATAGCAAAATCAGTTGTATATATGCATTGTGTTTGTGTGTATATATATATATATATATATATTTATATATATATATATATATATATATATATATATATATATATATATATATATATATATGCAAAACAACCACTCTGAAAGAATAGAGAAATTCCAAGCACTTTCGACTACTCACATTATCAAGGAACTATGAAAGTAAAGCATCCAAGGAAGCTATATAAGGGGTCTGGCCAAGACCTCACTTATATATATATTATATATATATATATATATAAATATATATATATATATATATATTATTATATATATATATATATATATATATATATATGTCGTGCCGAATAGGCAGAACTTGCGATCTTGGCTTAAATAGCAACGCTCATCTTGCCATATAGGACAAGTGAAAATTTGTGTATGCAATAATTTCGCCAAAACCATTCTGAACCTAACGAAAAAAAATATATTTCACTGTGTTTGCTTAGCATTAAATTACTGTAAACAAATCTAAAATATATTTAGTTGGGTTAGGCTAAAATAAATTGCTCTCGTTATAATAAGGTTAGGTAAGTTTTCTAAGATTCTTTTGGTGCAAAATTAATTTTTTTTACATTAACATTAATGAAAAAAATATATCTTTAAACGTATAAGAGAAAATTTCAGAAAGGACTTAATTTTAAATGAGTTCTTGCTAATTGACCAGTTTTACATATTCGGCACGACATATATATAATATATATATATATATATATTATATATTTATATATATATATATATTATATATAATATATATATATATATATATATATATAAAAGCAGGGGGGATATAGTGTTGGAGTGGTTGGTACTTTTTGTTTAATAAATGTATGAAAGAGGGTAAGGTACCTAGGGATTGGCGGAGAGCATGTATAGTCCCTTTATATAAAGGGAAAGGGGACAAAAGATATTGTAAGTTTACTGAGTATACCAGGAAAAGTGTACGGTAGGGTTATAATTGAAAGAATTAGAGGTAAGACAGAATGTAGGATTGTGGATGAGCAAGGAGGCTTCAGAGTGGGTAGGGGATGTGTAGATCAAGTGTTTACATTGAAGCATATATGTGAACAGTATTTAGATAAAGGTAGGGAAGTTTTTATTGCATTTATGGATTTAGAAAAGGCATATAATAGAGTGGATAGGGGAGCAATGTGGCAGATGTTGCAAGTATATGAAATAGGTGGTAAGTTACTAAATGCTGTTAAAGAGTTTTTATGAGGATAGTGAGGCTCAGGGTTTGGGTGTGTAGAAGAGAGGGGGAATACTCCCCGTAAAAGTAGGTCTTAGACAGGGATGTGTAATGTCACCATGGTTGTTTAATATATTTGTAGATGGGGTTGTAAAAGAAGTAAATGCTAGGGTGTTCGGGAGAGGGGTGGGATTAAAATTTTGGGAATCAAATTCAAAATGGAATTGACCACAGTTACTTTTGCTGATATACTGTGCTTATGGAGATTCCCAAAAAAAATTGCAAAGGTTAGTGGATGAGTTTGGGAATGTGTGTAAAGGTAGAAAGTTGAAAGTGAACATAGAAAAGGTAAGGTGATGAGGGTATCAAATGATTTAGATAAAGAAAAATTGGGTATCAAATTGGGGAGGAGGAGTATGGAAGAAGTGAATGTTTTCAGATACTTGGGATTTTACGTGTCGGCGGATGGTTTTTATGAATGATGGGGTTAACTAGAATTGATGGGGGAAAAAAAGGGTGAGGGGTGCTTTGAGGTATTGGGAGTCAAACACTTACTTTTGACAAAGAAGGGAATTTATGAAGTATATAGTACCAACACTTTTATATGGATGTAATTTGGGTGGTAAATCGCAGGAGGAGACGGTTGGAGCAGTGGGATGTCCGTCTAAGGGAAATGTGTTTTTAAATATTATGCAAAAAAAATTTTCGGAGTGTGGAAATTAGGAAAGGTGTAGAGTTAATGAAAGCATTAGTCAGAGGCAGAAGAGGGGTTGTTGAGGTGGTTTGGCATTTAAGAAAATGGATCAAAGTAAAGAAGAAAGCATATAAAACTATAGGGGAAGGAGGGAGGGGTAGGGGTCGTCCCCCGAAAGGGTTGGGGGAGAGGGGGGAAAGAAGGTTTGTGGGCGAGGGGGTTTTGGGCTTTCCCCAACGTGCATGAGCGTGTTAGATAGGAATGAATGGAGACAATGAACTTGGGGGGTGACGATCTTTGGGGTGTAGCAGGGTAATTTTAGTGAAGGGATTCAGGGGAAAAGGGTTTTTTTCAATAGTCGACTTAGTCCTGGGAAAGGGGAAATACAATGCCTGCACTTTTTAAAAGGGGGGGTTTGGGGTATTGGCAGTTTGGAGGGGTATGTTTGTATCTTTATACATATTGCTTCTAAAAAATGTTGATTCTGAGCCCCCTCTGCAAAAAAGTAAATGTTGACTTGAAAATGTTTAATGATGAAAGTATTTTCTTTTTGGGGATTTTTTTTCTTTTTTGGGTCACCCTGCCTCGGTGGTAGACGGCC